TTGTTTGTTCCATTAAGTATTTTATGTTTTCATTTTGTTTTATTGTTTCATGTTACTGTATCTGGGTCTCTTTATGAACTGACTCTTTACTTGTGTGAAAAATACAGACAAATGCAGGAAAGAGTCCTTTTGGGCGAAATACTGTAATCCTGGAATACTATATGAAATTAGTTGTTCTAGGATGCTTACAGACGATATTAGAACATTCAGAGATGAATGCAGTGTTTGTAAAATGTTTGATGTGATAATTGTCCCCAGCGTACATTGATCCTATTGTATGTGTTACGGTGAAAATAAATTTTTTTCGCTATTGAAAAGTATTGAAAAGTATCACAATGTATAAACTCAATATAAATGGTCACAAAAAAAAAAAAAAAAAGAAAAAACTGTAAAAAGGGGACAGGGACACTGCTCCCAGACCACTTTAATGAGATGACCAGTCTGGGTGCCTACAGTGTCTGTCTAAAGTGCCTGGCCTTCTTCAACCTTATAGAAGATACCTACCAGTATGCAGGGCTGGAGAAACAGGATGTCCAGTTCGATAGATTAGAGAAGCCAGAAACATGAGAAGTAGTGAAAGGAAGTTAGGAGCTCTGAGAATTAAAAACGCCAAGGCATTTTTCACTACGTAAGCTATTCTTGAACCGGTACACATAAATGATTTTCAAACAATTACCAGCTAGGGTACTCACTAAATACAACTCGTTAGCAACGGTAACATTTAAAATGTATCTGTGCAGAATCTCCCCAGAGTGCGGCTCCTGATGAGTTGGATGCGAATCACTGTAAACTCAATGGGAGTTCTGCTGTTTAAAGGAGACTCCGGTAGAAAATGAAAAAACTTCAGCTGTAAATCAAAGTTACCTTGAAAGCCTTCAACAAAATGATGCAGTCACTTTTACCTTGGCAGTGACAGAATTTGCAGATTTTAAGAAGACGTATACCATGAACTGACTCAGTAGTAAGGGAGTAGAATGTTACTAAGACTCAGTAGTTAGGGAGTAGAATGTTACTAAGATTCAGTAGTTAGGGAGTAGAATGTTACTAAGACTCAGTAGTTATGGAGTAGAATGTTACTAAGACTCAGTAGTTAGGGAGTAGAATGTTACTAAGACTCAGTAGTTAGGGAGTAGAATGTTACTAAGACTCAGTAGTTAGGGAGTAGAATGTTACTAAGACTCAGTAGTTAGGGAGTAGAATGTTACTAAGACTCAGTAGTTAGGGAGTAGAATGTTACTAAGACTCAGTAGTTAGGGAGTAGAATGTTACTAAGATTCAGTAGTTAGGGAGTAGAATGTTACTAAGACTCAGTAGTTATGGAGTAGAATGTTACTAAGACTCAGTAGTTAGGGAGTAGAATGTTACTAAGACTCAGTAGTTTAGGGAGTAGAATATTACTAAGACTCAGTAGTTAGGGAGTAGAATGTTACTAAGACTCAGTAGTTAGGGAGTAGAATGTTACTATGACTCGGTAGTTATGGAGTAGAATGTTACTAAGACTCAGTAGTTAGGGAGTAGAATGTTACTAAGACTCGGTAGTTAGGGAGTAGAATGTTACTAAGACTCAGTAGTTAGGGAGTAGAATGTTACTAAGACTCAGTAGTTTAGGGAGTAGAATATTACTAAGACTCAGTAGTAAGGGAGTAGAATGTTACTAAGACTCAGTAGTTAGGGAGTAGAATGTTACTAAGACTCAGTAGTAAGGGAGTAGAATGTTACTAAGACTCGGTAGTTATGCAGTAGAATGTTACTAAGACTCAGTAGTTAGGGAGTAGAATGTTACTAAGACTTAGTAGTTAGGGAGTAGAATGTTACCAAGACTCAGTAGTTTAGGGAGTAGAATGTTACTAAGACTCAGTAGTTTAGGGAGTAGAATATTACTAAGACTCAGTAGTAAGGGAGTAGAATGTTACTAAGACTCAGTAGTTAGGAAGTAGAATGTTACTAAGACTCAGTAGTTAGGGAGTAGAATGTTACTAAGACTCAGTAGTTTAGGGAGTAGAATGTTACTAAGTCTCAGTAGTAAGGGAGTAGAATGTTACTAAGGCTCAGTAGTAAGGGAGTAGAATGTTACTAAGACTCAGTAGTTTAGGGAGTAGAATGTTACTAAGATTCAGTAGTTAGGGAGTAGAATGTTACTAAGACTCAGTAGTTAGGGAGTAGAATGTTACTAAGACTCAGTAGTTAGGGAGTAGAATGTTACTAAGATTCAGTAGTTAGGGAGTAGAATGTTACTAAGATTCAGTAGTTAGGGAGTAGAATGTTACTAAGACTCAGTAGTTAGGGAGTAGAATGTTACTAAGACTCAGTAGTTAGGGAGTAGAAGGTTACTAAGACTCAGTAGTTAGGGAGTAGAATGTTACTAAGACTCAGTAGTTAGGGAGTAGAATGTTACTAAGCAGAAAATAAATAAATAAAGGGGTGCAATACGAATGAAGTAACCCCCCATTATATAGACAATAGATTAGGTTGCCTATTCCACTAATATCTCCTCCAGAGCTAAAACGCCACACGACAGTGCCCTATCGAGCTGCACTCACCTGAACATACATACATTATAAGGTTGTTAATATAAAATGCAATATCCACTGCAGCCACACACTAAACTACAACTTCAAAGCTCACAAAATTTCAGGTTTTTTTTTTTAACCCGATGGGCAAAAATATTGGGTATTAAGTTACAGTATAGGATCTTACATTGCATTCTGCCTACCACAAGACCAATGTACCCCATTGTTGCAGGTTCTGTTCTAGCAACATAATGCCTGCTCTTATGAGATTAAATTGCTTACTTGGGAAATCCTGATTTTAATATATGGAGTATATAAGGCCACAGTTCAAAGCAAACCGTTTAAATAATAATCATGCTAACAATAATATACTGGTAACAGTTGAAATAATGTGTATTTTTGTTCCAATTACCTTAGTAAGGTGTATGACACCTTCAGATGTAACAGAACAGCCCATAAATCCAACATACTGGAGACTCGGACAGTGCTCTGCAAACGCCTTTACTGACTCATCTGACACCTGAAAACAGAGGGAATAAAGAGAATTCATTTCACATTTTACACCTTCACTGGTAAGCAAGCTCAATCGTTTTAGATTACATATAACAGGAACATGAAAAAAAAAGGAAAAATAATTATATAAACTCTTTCTTGATGCTGTGAGAATATGAACCAAAAACTCCAGCTGAAGACATGTCAACTTCAGCAGGTCTGGTATTGGTTGAATAAGGGGGTGGCTCTGTCTGTTTGCAAGAAAACAATGTAATAGCACTTGTAAGGGTCAAATGTCCCATGGGGCAAAGTATGCACCCTTTCTCTTGTATGATTAATCCTCACTTCCTATTGTATGTAAATATGTATGGGTGGGAGGCAAAGGTCACTTTATAAAGTACACAAATGAGGTTGGAGAAGGCAAAGAGCCACCTTGTAGGGAATGCAAAATTGAATGCAAGGATATATTGCCAATTTATATTGTAAGTATATAGGGTTAATAATTACCCATGTTCAAAAGATCAAAAGTTATAGGTACCACAACGGACACCCTTTAAAGGGTCACTATAAAAAAAAATAAAGAAGTAGTAGGGGAAAATACTTCTAATAAATGGAACCGTGGGCAAACTATAGCATAGAAAATGTTTTTATCATGCATATATACTTTAAATAATGTTTCAAACAGATCAAACAGTGGTTAAAACCCAGCAATTTGCCCAAAACAAGACACCTTTTCCTTAAAAGTCACAAAACGGTAAGTCAATAACGCAGAGAGGCGGAACACTTTCCAAGGAGGTTTGGGTGCTGCGCATGGCTACTTAACCGATTTTCAATCAACAAGTGAATGGATTAGCCCCAAAGCCTAGTGGCAGGCTGCTCTATTGAATACTACGATATTAACTAGTTATAGATTTTAAACCATTATCACAGATGGTGCGATCTCGTAGATAATTGTCTTTATTCATATAAAAAAAAAAAAAAAAATCAAGCTATTAAAATAAATCTTCATTATGTAAATAGAGAAAGGAATTCTAAATGGTAAGAAAATTAACATACTAAAAATGACCCTTGTCAACAAGGTCACATGCATTTACAACTAATCACATTAAAGAAGTCCATTAGTGTTCATTGTGAAATCTGTAATAATTTCATTGCCTGCTCGACCTTCATTGACTTTCACTCACTGTGCTTTGCTGGATGTTGGTCTTGCTTGGGAAGAATAATACAGCTTGATGAGAAAAGATTTATAAGTCATGGACTGAAGTAGTGTGAATGGAAAAGACATTGGCATGAAACTAATGGCTTGGATACTTTGCACCTATTAAAAAGATCTATGGTACTTATTTACAGCTTAACTGTTTCACAATAATTTAACAGGCTATTTGTATGGCTCCGGCGACGCTTTCCTGGATTTTAAAGTCAATTTTCTGACTATAGAAATTAAAATTTAGCTTATTGTTCCAGCATATCAAATGTAAAGAAAAATTTAAGATATAAATTTACGGCATACAGCTTGCTATATAGCTAAAAGAATCTGCATGTGGGGAGAATTTGGGGTGTACCAAAGCACTTTTACAGATCGCTTTAACTAGAGATACCATACCCACCATAGGACACATATCATTTATATATATTGATGTGCAACATACAGAAAGTGCGGCACTGCAGTATGTAAAAGTCAAATGCTGCAGGTAGTAAATCATGTGATAAATCAATCAGGAACCCGACATCATATACATATACATAATACAGGGCAGCATTTTCATGTGCTGCCCTTCAACATTGTGAAATTTTATGTGTCCCAGAAAACGTGGTATATGGCAAAAATAACTAACAGAATATGATCATTCACGACGCCCTTATATTTCAAAATGATGCCCTATTTTAAAGATGGTGTGTTTAAAATAATTTTAAATATTATAGGAGCGTTAGAAAGTTGTCAGACTCCACCTGCTGTGTAACTTGATTGACGGCTGAGGGAGTCGCTGCCTGCCGGAGTGGACAGAGGGAGTCGCTGCCTGCCGGAGTGGACAGAGGGAATCGCTGCCTGCCGGAGTGGACAGAGGGAGTCGCTGCCTGCCGGAGTGGACAGAGGGAGTCGCTGCCTGCCGGAGTGGACAGAGGGAATCGCTGCCTGCCGGAGTGGACAGAGGGAATCGCTGCCTGCCGGAGTGGACAGAGGGAGTCGCTGCCTGCCGGAGTGGACAGAGGGAATCGCTGCCTGCCGGAGTGGACAGAGGGAATCGCTGCCTGCCGGAGTGGACAGAGGGAATCGCTGCCTGCCGGAGTGGACAGAGGGAATCGCTGCCTGCCGGAGTGGACAGAGGGAATCGCTGCCTGCCGGAGTGGACAGAGGAATGCCATAGTGGACAGAGCGTGCACAGAGGGATCTCTTCCTGCCAGAGTGGACAAAGCAGGAAGGAGAATCGCTACCTGCAGGGAATACAGTTGGGGCCCCTGGTGCTGGAAGAGGAGGGACAGACAACAGAGAGGGACAGATCTGGATCACAAGCCAAGGGCCAGTCACCCCTGTTCTCGATACAACATACTCCAACTGCATGTAGTCACAGAAAACAGAGTTTATATTTGCTCCCCCAAAGGCAAGAGTTGTCAGATCTCCCCCAAATACCACTGTCATTCCTGGTGTTGTCTGGGAGTTGCAGTTCACCTGTTTGCTTTTAATAGTGAAAGCAAAGTTGACTGCTAAACTACATTTCCCAGAAGACCTTACTGAGCCCATAAATAACTGCTTGTGGGACTATCTCAGCAGTTCTACACATAATCATGCGACTAATGATCTAATTTATAGTCCCCAGTTACTAGGCAGACACTATCTGAAGAACTGAATAACCATTTTGCCAAACCCGAGATAAAAAAGGTGTGAACGCACAACCTAACAAACAGTCACATGCTTTATTATAATATTAATGGACATGATCAGTGACAAGGAGCATCATGCAATGTCGTTATTACCCAGGTCATGCTCAGTATTATTATATTTGGGAACGTGGACATGCGGCAAAAAGAACACCTCTACCACTTCATACCTGTGTGAATGTGTTAACTCACTAACTCTGTCAGCACCAAAAGCTGATAAAAAAAAAAATACTATAAACATATCACTCATGGCAGCAGCCGGCAAGTCATTTTCTAATGTGCTTCCTGTGTCCTGAGAACAAAAGCGTTCAATGTTGTGTTAAAACGCAGTGAGGAATAAAATATGTAACAGAAAATAACTTCCCACAGCAGGTAGATAACCAGCAAATTCAATTACAAATATAATATAGACGTACTGTGTAAAGGAAAATTGTAGTTTGTGCTTTATGTTTTTTTAAAGCTAAGTCTATCAATATCTCCAAAGAACATGCTGTCATGTGATGTCAGGTCATCTAGATAGGGTAAGTGATCCTGTAATTAAATTAATTAAAGGACCACTCTAGGCACCCAGACCACTTCAGCTTAATGAAGTGGTCTGGGTGCCAGGTCCAGCTAGGGTTAACCCATTGTTTTATAAACATAGCAGTTTCAGAGAAACTGCTATGTTTATTAATGGGTTAAGCCTTCCTAATCTCTAGTGGCTGTCTCATTGACAGCAGCTAGAAGCGCTGCGTGATTCTCACTGTGAAAATCACAGTGAGAAACGCATAACGTCAATAAAGCATTGTAAATGCTTTCTATGCAACTTTTACGAAGCCAGCGCTCTCGCGCCAACCATTCAGCCGCATAGGAGGAGAGAGAGGAGGAGGGAGGAGGTCCCCGCCCAGCGCTGGAAAAAGGTAAGTTTTTCCCCTTCCAGAGCCGGGCGGGAGGGGGTCCCTGAGGGTGGGGGCACCCTCAGGGCACTATAGTGCCAGGAAAACGAGTATGTTTTCCTGGCACTATAGTGGTCCTTTAAGCATTAACTAAATGCAAATGAATTTGGGAGACCTGAACTACACACAGCGTTTGCAATGCAGTTTACCTTGTTATAAATATTCAGTATGATCCACTGCAATGTTGGCTCTAAATAATTAGCTGCCTCTTTAAAGGAACACTGTACTCACTGTAACGATTTCATCTAATTGCAGTTGTTATAGCGTCTACAGTAGTTCCCCCTGTGTTCTAACCTCAAATTTGTTATATATTAAAATTTGAAGGCTTGGGAACTCAGCTTGAAGCTACACCGTCTGCCTCAGGATTGAACTGTTACTTCCCGGCTCTCTTTCCCAGGAACACCAGTACCACCACAGCTTGTATTCAATGATTCTCTACGACAAGAGGATCACTGGTGGCTTCGTCCCCAATGCTCCTCTGTGAAGATTGAACAATCATTCTTAATGGCAGAGCTCTGCCTTTTGTCAACCTCAGGCTTCCAAAGTAGTGATCCAATGCCAATGTAGTCATCATGAGTAGTTCATAAAGATTGTAGGGCAAAGAGGGCTCTCTGATTCACTCCACTTGAACAATGTGAAGAGCTTCCATAGGGAAAAATGATGATGCTAACAGCATGAGCATCATACTAACACAGAGATGGCCAAAACAAAGGACTAGGCATCAACTGAGATGTAGTTTTACAACAGAGGGAGTCTATATTTTTGGACAGTGGTTATATTAAAGATTATCTATAGGCATCCTCACTTGACGATGAACTGTGAGATGTAGCAATAAAAAATCAATTCTATAACAATTCAATAAATGATGAATTCGAGTTTTATGTTTGACTGAGTTTTCAGGAAATACATTCCCTGCTGGTGTGTGTAAGGTCAGATGATATAAAGCACCTTGCTGCTAAATGATATATATTAGACTAATATATAAAGATCGAGTAATAGAAACGGGTTCTCTTTGGTAAATTATGTTAGCCTTTGTTACTTTTTCTCTGAAGCACCAAGAAAGCTTCGGCTGTGGGAAGATTCAATCTTTCATCTGTGTGATAAAGAGATTTAAGGTCAACTACCTGTTATCGGCAGATCATGATGAGCTGTACGTGGGCATCCTTCAAAGTAGTGGGAAGCCTGGATTAACTAGCACTTATGAAATCATTAGAATTCCAAAAGGTGGGCTGACAATTATTTTAAAGGTTAACCTTGCTGCTTTATGAGAGCAGTCTATTAGATAAAAAATTAAATGATTAGATCATTTATCACATAGAGCTGTTTAAAAGCAGATCTCTAAGCACCAACATCACTTCATTTTATTGCTGCTCCTGCAGTCTTGCAAATGAAAACAAGGCTGAGAAATGGAACTAATTACAGTTTGAAATTCCCTCACCTCGAGCAGGTTTCAATCAGACAGCCACTAGGGACTTCGGACTGAAATACATTCAATAATTGAAGCTATTTTATGTACAGTATTACATACAAGCTAGGCTGTGT